AATCGACGCACCAAGAAGGAGTTGTCCGATTGAAACGAAAATTGGTGGACAGGAAGACAATGTACAGAATAGCAAATGATTAGAATTTCAGAACAATTGAATAATTTATTGCAGAGTTACAGTAACAAGTTCAATAAGGTGTTGACCCGCCTCTAGCCTGGATACAAGCTGCCACACGGCGTGGCATAGACCGATAAAGCTCCCGGATGGTCTCTTGCGGTATTTCCTGCCAAATTCGATCCAATTGTCGAACGAGGTCATCAACATTCCGTGCCAGATGCAATCGCCTTCCCATCATATCCCAGACATGCTCGATGGGAGAGAGATCTGGTGATCTGGCAGGCCAAGGAAGAGTTTGACAAGCCTGCAGACAGTTTATAGCAACACGTTCCGTATGTGGTCTGGCATTGTCCTGCTGAAAAACCAGCCCAGGGCGCTGCAAAAGGAACAGTGGAAAAACAGGTCTTAGGATGTCGTCGACGTACCGCTGTGCATTAAATGTACCTCTAATGACGACCAAAGGGGTCCGGCTGTCAAAGGAAATGGCACGCCAGATCATAATGCCTTGTTGGGGGCCTGTGAGGCGTGCAATAGTGAAGGCAGGATCCCCCCTCTGCGTCTCCAGACACGTCTTCGATGATCGTCAGGACACAGTTGGAAGCGGGATTCGTCGCTAAAATACGTCCCCAGTCGGCATCATTCCAGCCATATCTGTTCAAAACATTCATGCATACGAAATTTCAATGGGATGATTGCTTTTTGGTGTGTCGATTTTTTTTGTTATAGAGTGTAGTTAGAATTTCAACAAAAGAGGAAAGAATGCATATCTTGCATTACTTTCTAAGTATTCTGTTACTATCACTCTGTTATCAGTCACCTGCAAATTCATTTCAAAAGAAGAATGGAAAACTCATTCACCTCCCCTTTTTTATTCAAACATAATTTATCATGAATAAGTGTCAGAAGACCAACTGAATAAATTGCGCAACTCAATGAATCAGTTGAAATCTAAAAATAGAACCCTTGAAACATCAATGTTCCTAAAAATTCCCTTTAAACTAATGTTTTAACTTCAAAATAAAATTTCGAATTCAGAGCTTAAGAGAGGGTTATGTTACCCTTTTAGAAAGTTTTAAGTATCGTAATAGTATTATTACATTATTAAAATTGGATTCTTGATATTTTAAATTATAAATAGGATAAAAATTTAAAAATTAAAAGGCTAAAAATACTTCATTATGTAAATTTTTAATACTTAAAAAATATTGTTTCGATTTAACTGCTCATTAAATTCAAACTCAAGGTCCATATTCCATTTTTGGAACATTGGCATGCAAACAATTAAAAATTATATTTTATATGGATTTATCTTAGGATAAACGAGCTTTATAATAGTGTGCAAAAACGTTTTGATTCGATTGAATAGTTTCAGACAGGGTTACCACTCAAATCTGGAAAAAAAATTCCCTGTACATATTATACACAATATATTAAGAGGAAACAACAATTACTGTTGTGTGAACTATATTGGACTAACTATATTTATTGGTTTTAATTGCTGGAAAAACAATTGAACATACTTAAATAAATCTAAAGTAAATGAAATAGTTTAGTACTAGGAGGCTTCGCCCCCTGCTCGCTGGCGCTCGCCAACCCCCAGAACTTGTTTCGCAGTTCATTTCGGATTGCTTCGCAATCAGATGCTCGCTCATTGGATACGTTCTAAACGTCTAGCTTTTGTATACTTTTTTGAACACTGAAGTTCTGAAAACTTTTCACTGTAGAAAATTCTAAACCTGTGCATTTCAATATTAATTTGAAATTGCGAACAGTTCACAAATTTTTCTTAATCACACTATCTAAATTTCAGTTGTTGAGAAAAGTAACTGTTGTAAGTTTCGTTTTAGAGTCTTTCCCACCAGAGGGCTAAAACCATGCGTTGTAAAACAATATGAAATAGTACTGAACGCCGGATGAAAAGCATCGGCTTCGATTAATATAATTTTGTGAGAATTTTTTTGATAATTCACCCGATTAGACATATGATGCTCACTGCGTGCTCTTGCGCGCCGAAGCCTATCAATTAAAACGTATTAGCGTTTTATATAATATTAGAAATTACATTTTGAAATGTGTTTCACTAAAGTAGCCAAACAGAAGAAATCATTCAAAGGGAAGTTTTTAAGCCTGACAGTGTTGTTAGATGCTTTAANTATTAGCGTTTTATATAATATAGATAGCTGAAAGGTTAAATATCCCATAGATTACGCTTTGAGAGGTCACCCTTTTTTAAAAGACAAAAATAAGGTACAAAATTCCTTATATTTTCCTAGTTAGTTAAGAAAAAAAATCAAAATTCCCTGTTATTTTAGATTTTTAAATTCCCTGTGGAGTGATAACCCTGACAGAATATATAGCAACTTTTGTAAAAAGTGAAATTAACAATAAAGGGGGTCAAACATATGCCCACTACTCTAATTAAACTGTATTATTTAAATTGCGGCTACCCACAACATTTTTAGGGTAAAGAAAACTGCGGGGGAATAATCATTCCTTCAAACCAAATATGGTTTTATGTTTTTGTCTGTATTCTAAAATATAGCTAGCACAAATTATTTAGCACTTTTAAGGTTGGCCCTTCAAATTAGTTAAATTGCATCGATAATTAGATAAAAAAAATTATTAAGGTGTTCCGTTTTAATTATGTGTACTGGACATCCAGATAGCTGTCTAATATTTAGGATTTTTCGAGCATTTTTTTATGATAGAAGTAATTAAATTTTATCTTCACTGTTTCATTCTTGATTTTATAAATTCATATGATTCCAACTACATATTAAAAAATATATATATGNAAAATCCTAAAATCTTATGAGGAGAAAAAATTTTTTTTTAAAAAATAGCGGGAAAATTAATCGAATTTCGTTCCGGTTTTTTGGTTTTCCGGTTTTCTGATTTCCGGATAACGGGTTCTGTACTGTATATAGATCAAACATTTATATAACTGCGTGACAGAAAAATGATTGCATTGAAGCTCTGACAAATCATAAAAGATAATATTGCCTAGAATTGAATATTCAGTTCTTTTTTGCTACCACTTGGAGAAATCATTATTGTAAGGAGAAAAAGTTGGAAGTATGCATTTATTTTACATATAAATGAATCTACTTAAAGTTTAACAATTAAATTTAAAAACACAGTTTCGCCCACCCTACCTTATGTGTAACGAAATAAGGAAACAAATCTTAGGAAAATAAAAAGCTTTATTTTGAGGCAAATAAATACACAACAAAAAACTTTTTCAACATTTTAAAACTGATTCCAGTAAATGTTTATCGATATTCTACTGCTATTAGAATTACAATTTAATTTTAGAACATATCATTGAATTTTATTTTCTGCACTTTTTTTCACTCAGTAAATCAGGAATGAAAATGGACAAAAATAAAAATAAAAAAAAGGTGAACTTTTACAACACACTTACTGGGAGGAGGGGGATATAATACTATGATATGGATGAGATACATAAAGGCTCTCTGCCAGGAGATTTTTATTTGGCAAGCATTTAGAATTATTTGGCAAGTATTAGAAATGGCAGTGAAATTTAAATTTTTCTTAAATATAATTTTAAAATTTTGACCACTACTATATTAAAGAAAATTAAGCAATTATAGGAAGTCGCAGCTTAATTATCATTTCAAATTAATTATCGGTTATTCATTTTAAATTAAAACAGTTGCCAACATTCATCTCAATATTTTCTGATAAAGTGTTACTTACAATTTTAGTCACTTTGACTGTTTTAATTAACCAACCAAACTTGAATTTATTTTCTTGTCAGTAGCATCAATAGTACACACTTTGTGTTTGCCTTTCAAATTGACTAGTATCGTTAAAATACGTTCATCTTACTCATAGCTGCGAAGTTGTTAAAAACAAAAATAGGAACATAAAGCCTGATAAGCCAATCAGGGGTAATTGTGACATAAAAAAATCAAGATATCCATATACTTCAAAGTTAACGTAATTCAATCAACGCATTTCAAATTAAGCATAATTTTTTTGAGCCAACAGTTTTAATAAAATTACTTACTAATGAAGAATATCACATCTTTAAAGCATTTTATTCAAAAATTTAAAAAATTGAGAGGAAAAAAAACAGATTTCCACTTTATTTCCTCTTTGCATCACATCAGAAAAATAATAACTAAGATGATAATAATAGCATGATATGTTTATAATAAGTGTGAAATTATTTTAGGCCGTTTCATTTCAGTACTACTTAATTATAATATATATTAAATTTCAGATAAAAAAAATGCTTTACTGTAGCAAACTAATCAAAATATCTCACAACACGTAAAAATAATCATTACAAAATTATTTTTTAAGTCATTTGTAAATGCACGCTCTTATAATATTTATCAATACCTTTACATAGGAAGACAAACATATTTTAGTTCTGAATTATAAAAAATAAAAAAAACAGAGGAACTCTAAGAAACTGTAAAACAGACTAACATTTACAAATTTGGCACTAATATTTGGTACATCTACAGGTATATAAGTAAACATCTATAACTTGAGTAAAGCCTTTAATTTTCCACTTTCATGTGGAACCATGGTTTTTTAAGTCATTTATCAAAATACTCTTATAATATAATATAATAATAAAAAATAAAAAAAACAGAGGAACTCTAAGAAACTGTAAAACAGACTTACATTTTCAAATTTGGCACTAATATTTGGTACATCTACATAAGTAAACATATATAACTTGAGTAAAGTCGTAAATTTTCCACTTTCATGTGCAACCTTGATGTCATCACATGATTTTTAAGTCATTTGTAAATGCACACTCTTATAATATTTATCAATACCTTTACATAGGAAGACGAACATATTTTAGTTCAGAATTATAAAAAAATCAAAAAAATAGAGAAACTCTAAGAAACTGTAAAACAGACTAACATTCATAAATTTGGCACTAATATTTGGTACATCTATATAAGTAAACATCTATATAAGTAAACATCTATAACTTGAGTAAAGCCTCTAATTTTCCACTTTCATGTGCAGCCATGGTGTCATCACATCCGCCCACATGCTCTTCGTTGATGAACACCTGGGGAACACTTCTTCTTCCTGCTTTCTTTGCCATCGCGTCTTGCATCGCAGAACCATTCTCTGTTAAATGTGGAAAAAAGTTTTCAAAATACATGCTTATTTATAATTCCTGCCAAAATTTCAGAAAACTATGGTAACAAAACTAAGCCAATTACTGCAAAAAACAAACCTTGCACTAAACACAGTTAAGTAGTATGGAGTTTTTGGCAAAAAAGCAACCCTACAACTAAGTTTATAATATGCAACTAATTGAGGGTTAAAAGTTAGATTGATGAAGTCAGAACCAATATCCTTGAGGTATGAGAAAAAGGATATAGTGAGTGTTATTTCCAATTAATTAATTGCATGATGGGTTGAAGCTATTGAAATGGTTGTTAAATCTACTGTAATGGATTCGTAACATGCCTAACAGTGGGAAGCTTTAAATAATCGAAACATTGTGGCGTAGGTTCATTTAACAAGAGAAAGTTATGTGTGTGTGACCAATATGCTAGTGATTTAGAAAATAATTTCAATTTAATTTACAGCCCAACAGGTGTTCTATGTGTGAACCCTTCATCATACAGAATATATCTATGTGATTATCCAGTTTTTGCTCAGTTCAATTCAGCATTGTAATATAAATGGTAATGACAATGTGTTTAATTCTTTTATGAAGTTTAGGTAAATCACATTGCAAAGGGATTGAAAAAAGGACACATACGAGGCTATTTACATAGACCTACAAGGGCAATAATTGGATTATCTCATTAACGCATGCTATGTGGCAAAAGGGTCTCATATAGAACACCTTTAAGGGCTGTTAATAAAAATTGAATTGTGGCTGCATTGAATGCAAGAATTGTTTCACCTATATTGATCATCTGAAACCTTAAGGCAATTACAGATAATCCTCTAAACTTTACAAAAAAAGGAGAGAGGAAAGATTTAATACAAAAAACCACATAAAAGTAATCTAAATCTAGTAGATATAAATTTCCTTAAAAGAGAAAAAATATATGCTACCAAAAATATATAACACAAAAAGCTTTTTGGTAACCCTTCAAGGCAGGATTTTTATTAAACAAATTCATACTTTTTTTAATTACTTTGTATCAATTTAGTTCAAAATTAAAGTAAAATATTATAGTTTTCATTTTAATAATTTATTGTTGTAAAATACAGCATTGAACACTGTTGTTTTTTTCTGCGTTAAAGATAAATTCTTCCAATCGCATCTAACTTCTAAACAATTTTTAAGATTTGCAGTTATTTAGATTGAAGAGAAACAGATTTATAACATTGAAATTTCTTTAATTTATAAAATTAATTCTTGATAAATTTCTGAATATGAATTTTAAAAAAAAATTCTAACCACTTTCTTTGGATTTTATATTTTACAACAAATATAATTCAGATAATCTAATAGATTTTTCTTAGTAACTATAAGAATGTTTTTTATAGCCAAAAAACACCATAATGTATTTTTGCTAGTAATTAAAATATCAGACGAAAAAATGTATAAAAGGAAGAGTGGTGTTCGATCTGCACCAAATGATTATGTTCCTAAATTCATAATTTTGATAAGAAAATAAGAAATTTAGAATTTCTACAAAAAAGAAAACAAAAAAATACAGTTAAAATTTATATAAAATGAAATTTGTTTATACTCTTAATTCTATTTGTAACATAAGTACATAATTTATTATAAGAATTATTTATTTAAATTGTGAATGAAGTGATGACCAAAATAGATTAGAAACTAATTTTGGCATTGGTCTCAAAAGTTATCCAATGCTTGAGAGTTTTTAAAAATAAAAAAGAAAGAAAAAACAGAGAAATTTTGACTAAAAAATGAGAAACAAGAAAATCTAGTAAAGTTCGCAGCTACATAAGAAAGCATTAGTAAAGGAATACTTAGAAAGAGTTTCTTTGCATTCATGAAATAAAGTTCAATGGAATAAGCCCTATCCATTTTTGAATGATCATCTTAAATCTAAACGCAAACTTTAAGACTTAAAGAAAAAGAAATAAAATTTATTTTCTTAACAAACTTCTAATCACTAGATAGCACAAGACATAAAAAATAAAGGCGTTGTTAATTAGATAACGGAAAATCGTGCTTGATATTCTTAGTAGTTTTAAATTTTTTTTACATGAAAAAGTAATATAAAATTATGTAGTTTTAGATAGGTAAGTTACTTAGAACAGTACGTTTGTCTGTGTTAAGCTATTAACCCCAGCTAAGTTTTATCCCGTTCCAATTAGGTGATGGTTTCATACTTTACATGTTTTGAAAGATAATGCGAATTAAAGTAAATGTTCACTATTAGCTTATTAGTGAAAATTAAACAAAGATGAATTAAAGCATATTTTGATTCCTCCTTTTAGACAGTTTGGTCCTTAGGAGGAAAGGGACTTTTACTGTTCAGAATCAAAAATTTTTTAATTAATGAAAATTAAATCTGTAAGAAAACTTTGCTTTTATAATATATTAATGTATAAGAAATTAGCCTTATTTTAATAGTATAAATTTCATTTCATTATTTTCTTACCANTGGTTGAAAGAATGTGAGTAATTTTTTCACAATTTCACGAAGAACGGACCTTTCACAAAATGTCTGGACAGACCCCTGATTAGTGAAAATTAAACAAAGATGAATTAAAGCATATTTTGATTCCCTCTTTTAGACAGTTCGGTCCTTAGGAGGAAAGGGACATTTACTGTTCAGAATCAACAATTTTTTGATTAATGAAATTTAAATCTGTAAGAAAACTTTGCTTTTATAATATATTGATGTATAAGAAATTAGCCTTATTTTAATAGTATAAATTTCATTTCATTATTTTCTTACCAAAAAGTAGAATTTATATTATTTGACACTTAAATGTATTCAACCTACAAAATTTCATTTGTATTTTTAAATGCTATGTAAAAGGAATAGTAAAACAAAATACAATAGCACATGCAAAGTTTTTAAAAAGTGAAAATTTTTTACATTTTTTTAGCTTTTGCGACAAACTTTAAAAGATTTCAGAAATAACAAACAATTGTAAATTATAACTAATATATATTTTGAACATATTCTATACTGAAATGAATATATGAATTCTATATTTCACAATACTGAGAATACATAAAATAAATGTCAAAATACCTATTACATCTAGATCTATTGCGTGATAATCAACTCCTAAACTTTTAAATAAGTCCTTCACCTAAAAATAAATAAATACATGAACATTTGTTAAGAAAAGAAATATTTTTAATGAATTATACAAAGACATATTCGTTTTACTTAAGACACAACTTTAATAAAAGAAAAAAAACATGATTTATTGAAAACTTCACTGTATACAGAGTAGCAAATTTTTTGGGGGGATTTATGCAACAAATCTTTCTAGCACTAATATCTTTCTGCAAGATACTTTGAATAATAACTAATATACATGTCATAAATTAAATTTAAAGTAACAGAAACTTTGTATTTACGAAAAAAAAAAAACCTATTAGGATCTTTAATAAAATTTTATATTGTTTTTTTTTGTTTTTTTTTAATAAATATGTAATATTTCTTTATTCTAATATCATGGGCGATATCCTCACAATTTGTACTAACACACTAATTATTTCTTTTTTCGCATTTCGTAAATCATCATCACATAAAAAATAATCAAAATCGTAAAAGAAAAGAAAATCAATGTTTTTTTATATTTATTTTTCCCAAATAAGAATTTAAAAAAATCACAAGCATTTCTTCCCCTCTGATGAGTGAAAAAGGCATCTTTTGAATATAATTCAGGAAGGAAAAAATCTTTCAAAAATTTCTGCAGAAAAGAAATTTTTTGGTTCAATATTCTTTATATTTCATTCTTCTCAAATAAGAATCGAAAAAATTGTGAACATTTCTTTCCTCTCCGATGGGCCAAAAAGGCATCCTTTAAATATAATTTAAGAGAAAAAAAAATTTTGAAAGTTTTTGCAGAAAAGAAAACCAAAATTTTTTACTTTCTAAAGGAAAATTCTTTCTGCAAGAACTTTGTAACGTTCTGCGACAATGGGGACTATAAATAGGAACGTCAATGTACAAAACCCGACAATCCATAAAATGCATACTCATTGTATAGTCAACTAAAAAATTGAATGGCAATGAATGGAATCAATGGAAATCATGAAAAGCAAAATAATACATATTTTGACACATTCTCTAGGCTTTAGTATTAAATAAGGCATTCTCTAGGCTTTAATATTAAAGTATGAAATAATTAATATTTTGCACAATGCCAAGGTAATATAAACAGACTATGCATGCTAAATGCATTTACTAACAAATAATCATTCTTGTATTTAATAATCTGCCTGGAAAAAACCAAATATTTTGCAGAATGCTGACATTTCATACTGGGACAGTAATCTATATCTATTTATATTAAGTGCTTTTTCAAAAACTATAAAAAATAAAATTAATTAAGATATAACAAGCTCTATTCAATCAAGAAAAAACAGCAAAACACTAAACTTTGAACCTTAACACAAACTTCTACAACACAAAATATTGTATTGCAAAACTTTTTTTTCAAACTTCTGAATAATTTAAATAGTTTATTTGTTATAACTCCACTCTCTAAAGACTTTTCTTGAATAATCTTAGGAATTATTTATTGAGACTAAAGAAATTGCGATATTTGAAATGAATTTGTCAGAATTCAAATTTAAAGAGATGCACTCCTAAAATATGTATGAATAGGTAAGATTATCTGACAATAACATTTTAAAAAAAACTGTTAATTTGATGAATCTATAAGAAATTGACACTTGTGAGGAAGTGGTTACTGTGGGTGATAATGTTTGAATTTTGAAAAATTGGAAATATTAAAGTTGAAGATACATTGAAAGAAGAAGTTGGGGAACCAAAACTTTCAGTAAAATATTGCAGCAAATGAAAAAGCACAAATAAATACATGTTGTACAATTTTAAAAATGACAGTACAATATTATTTTCATTAAATAATAAAAAATATTCAACATTTTTTTCCATGTTAATTTCTGTTCCCCTCTGTTCGTGTCAACTACTATAAAGGGATTTTTAACAAGAAATTTTTTTAATAAAAAACGTATATCCTTATGGACTATCCATGGATATCTTTCAAGTTCTTATGATGCTTTTTGGAGGGTTTTCCGGGGGGGGGGGAGGGAACTGAAGTCACCAAAAGTTGGAATTATCAAATTTCATAATCGCACTTACTTTTATACAATGAGGACACCTTGATTTACTGAAAATCATAACTTTGTGGGTCTTCACATAATTTTCAACATCAGCAAGCAATTTTTCATCGACGTGCATAGCAGACATATTGCCCATATATTCAACAACTGTAAAATAGGAGATCAAATACATAAAATGTTACTGAGTTCCTTAATAGAATAAATTACGATTAACATTATACTATACCGGCAATTACTATACATACCTTGCAGACTGCTTAATTAACAAAAAAAGGTTGATCACAAGATACGATGGAGATTAAACGTTTTATACGGAACAATCTTTAGCAGTTTTCTTGGCTAAGTAATACTTAAAAGAAAAGAGATAGTTTTAAACGAAAACTCAGAAAACTTATAATTTCTTATCATTTGAAAATATAAACAACTCTAGGGTCGTTAAGTTGACAGTTAGAAAATAATTTTAAAAAATACATTAAATTAATCTGGCAATATCCTTGAAAAACAATAGTGGAAAAGCTAGTTTTTGTTCTTGTTTCAGCAAAGAACTTCAACTTTAACTAAAATTTGTTTACTCTCGTCTTTTGTGATGTTTTTCCTCCCTACATTATTTTAACTATAATAAAAGGCTCTTTTTTTACTATTATCTCTTCAAGAACAAAAATATGTCAGCAACTACCCTCTGTACTTACGATTGTAGGCCAAGAAATTTCAAACTGCGAATTCATATCTGTACCAATTTTCACGTGATTGTTTCGCCTTCAACCGAAAACCATGGATGAATTAATTGTCATGTATATTCATCGGTTTCTGTGAATGGAACAGATGAAAACAAAACGATTTGCTCTTTTCCTTGCTTGTATTCTATGCATTACCATCCTCGTTCTCCTCTATGGAGATCTCCCCGTGCAGCCATCTATACAAAATTTAGTGTCTGAAACACAGACACGAATAACTGATTGGAAAGCATTCAAAATCAGCAAAGATGTGAGGAAACCTGATCCAGAAGAAAAATATCTTAAGCAGCTTGGATTTCTTACCGATAAACCTCGTTTATATCCAAACACAGGCTGGGTGAACTCTTCTTTACCAGTTTTTGTAACCACCGTTCCTCCAAGTGATCTCCAATATATCCTAACCTTTTTGAAATCATTTCAACATTTTTTTCCGAATTCTGTTCTTTTCATCTACGACTTGGGTCTGAATCCGACAGACAGCTCTCTTATCAGCGGGATTTGCAACAACACATCCACTTGTGTTTTGAGGACATTTGATTTTGATGCATATCCTTCTCATGTACGGAATTTACAACTATATGCATATAGGCCAATAATCATTCAAGAAGTTTTGAATGAAGCTGGAGCCATTGTTGTAATTGACGTTCGATTTACATTGATATCTGGAGAACTCCATAAATTGATGAGCCATGCTGAGAAAACTGGTGTGATTTCCTGGACTATAAATCAGCCAACATCTGCTCTGACGCATCCTCGTATGTTTGATTATTTCCATACACAGCAAGAAAAGTTCTTTTTTCATCGTATGGTCGAGCCTAATCATATGATATTGTTAAATACGGAACACATACATTTCAGGCTCATGTTCCCATGGGTGAAATGTGCCCTTGTACCAAACTGTATTGCTCCCATTGGCGCTCAAAACTCTGGGTGTAGATTTGATAAGAAACCACTCTATCGTTATACTGGCTGCCATCGTTACGATACGTCTGCGTTGAATGTAGTACTTGGCCTTATGTTTGACTTTTCTTCTAGTCATTATGCCGCAAAAGAAGAAGATAAGTTTTTCCATCTTATCGATTTTGATAAAGAACTACCTTTAGATTCTGAGAAAAATTCCACTTTATTTCCAGATTTCATGAAACTATAAATTTCTGGTCAAATTTTCAAAAATGAAATTTAGAGGAATTTTGATGTCATGCTACATTTATTTTTGCACATTTGGCTTCAACACTAATGGCGAAAAAAAAAACCAGGTGTATTTTCACGCTACTAATTACCTAGTATAGGGATGTAACGGGATGGTTGCCTACGTGTTATTCCTTTGATTTGATAGATTTTTGCCATTTTGAATATTTAGAACTGTTCTGGAATCTGCTAATTTAACAATTCTTATTAACTGATTTAAATGTTACACCTAGCGACTTGTATTCACCTGATTTAAAAATCTGCATACAGTGATTCCAATTCAAGCGATTTACAAATGCAATATAACGATTTGTACTTGCGTGTTTTTAATCTTGGTATTGCAATTCTTATTTATGTCAATTTAAAATCCAATTTTGTGATTCGTATTCACGTGGTTGTACTATCAAATATCGATTTTCCCATGTATACGTAATATAAAAACTATATATCATATTCACACAATCTAAAAATTATGTATCGTGATTTATATTTGCGCAATTTAAAAAATCAATATCGTATTTGTATTTTTGCATTTCTAAAATCCGATATTGTGATTCTTGTAAGAAATTAGTTTTATCTTGAATTAGCAGGGATCTGTCCGTTTAGCGGTACCTTCACAAATTCAACTTTAGGAAAAACGGTAGTTTCACAAATTCAATTTTAGGAAAAACGGTAGTTTCACAAAATACTTTCTCTTAAATTTTTATTTTTGTATCCCTTAAGAAACGATAAATCCATATTTTTGTGTTGATTTTTTAGTATAATTTTTAATTTTTCACAAATTATGTCTAAATTTTCACAAAATAGGTACCTCTCAGAAAAACCTAGACAGACCCCTGATTAGTTACTATAAGGGTGTGATATTCTTTATTTAATTTCATTTATAACTGTTCTTTCAAAGAATGTTAAATATGATACATTTATGGTATATAAATTGATATCAATTTTTTGCTCTTAACATTTTCAAGGTTTTTCATTTTGAGTCACAATCTCCCCTGCTATTAACCTACCTAAACAACCACTTGTGATTTTAAATGTGTATTTTGATAAGTATCTTTAAGTAATTTAGAGAATTAAGTTGATTTAAATAAATTCATTTAAAGGAATTATAACAATTATCTAGTCAGAATTATCACAACGAAGGACATAAATAAATTGATGTCTTTTATAATCTTATGATTATCAAATTGGTCTGTCTAGGTTTTTCTGTGAAGTACCTATTTTGTGAAAATTTAGACATAATTTGTGAAAATTAAAAATTACTTTAAAAAGTCAACACTAAAATGTGGTAAAAATATGGTTTATAATACAAAAATAAAATTTAAAAAAAAGGTATTTTGTGAAATTTTTCCTAAAGTTGAATTTATGATTGTATCGCCAAACGGTAGTAAATTTGGCCTGGACAGACCCCTGATGATGATAGTTATAATTTACAATTATATAAATAAATATATTTAATGAAAAGTGATTTTATTGATAGATATTTATAAAATTCTGCACTATTCCCAAATTTTATAATATTTATTGCTCATTCAATTATTTATTATTTTGATTACGCATTAAAACTAGTGTGAGTATTAAAAACCTTTTGACAGTGTCATTAATGTTTCTTAAATCACCACATATAGAGATTATGAATTATATACCGAAAATTAAGTCTCGTATATTTTGGAAATACAATAGATGGTTAACTATGTAAAGCTAAATATGGATGGCGCTAGGGGTTAAAATTTGTCATAAGACTTCCCGGTTGCTATATTTACGCCTGAACTTGAAAAAATGCACCATCCAGTACATGTAATATTTACAGCATAACTTGTTTTTTTTTTTTCAATCCAACTTTCAATGAAACAAGTAATAATTGAATTCAGAAAACTCTGCAAGCCTGGTATGATGCTACTCAAAAAAAAAATTATCGAACTTACTAATTTACTCAAATATATCCAAATAAGGGATAACATTCAAAACATGGCTAACCTTAAACAGGGTTGCCACTCCACAGGGAAAACCTGGAAAATACAGGTAATTTATAAATCACCAAAAATAGCAGGGAAAATGCAGGGAATTTTGATTTTTTCTTTACAAACTGGGAAAATACAGGGAATTTTGTTTCTAATTTTTGTCTTTTAAAAAATGGTGNTGTCATATCATGATGAACAAGATTTACATAGGAACTTGTGTCCGAAAATTAAAACTGAGACCGCTGGAGGGCGATAAGTGCAGGTTTGGATATGGAGAAAAAATTGATATTGATAGCGGTGTTAATATGATTTTTATTATAAAACATCATTACATTACAGCAGATGCTCAAAATTCCTTCCTTTCGCCACAATGCACGTTTCACAGCGTCGGCGCATGAATGCACGAACCCGTTCAAATTGGCCAGGAGTGTCACGGACACGTGCTGCCGCTTCCGCGATCCTGGCGATAAGATCCATGTCCAATGTTACGGGTGTCTCGTACACTATGGACTTCATGTCCAGAGGAGTCAGACCGGGGGATCGCGGCGGCCATGGAACTGGTCTGCCTCTACCGATCCAGCGATTAGGATAAATCCTATCGAGGTATTCTCGAACAGCGTAGCTAAAGTGGGCAGGCGCTCCATCATGCTGAATCCAGATGTTTCGGCGTGTAGCGGCTGGAACGTCACCTATCAGATCCAGCAAAACTCTTTCTAAAAAAATGCGATAGGTATTTCCGTCGAGGCGTTCAGGTAGAAGGTAAGGGACAATCAACATGTCACCGATAATACCAGCCCAAACGTTTACGCTGAAATGTTGTTGATGTGCATGGGCACGTGTACATCTTGGATTTTCATGCACCCAAACGTGCATGTTGTGCAGGTTCACGACACCGTAGCGTGTAAAGCAGGATTCATCAGAAAACAAAATCCACGATGGAAAATCTGGCTGTGCGACCCGCTGTTGCAAATACCAGCGTGAGAATGCAATGCGTTTGGGATAATCGCCAGTGCACAATGCCTGTACTTTTTGGAAGTGGTAAGAGTGTTGCATGTCATCGTGCAGTGTGCGCATTATTGTGGAACGAGCTACACCCAAGACACGTACGCCTTCTCGGAGACTTCTTTGCGGGTTGATGGCATACTCCTGTAGCACGGTTTCCTCTACGACAGGTGTGCGTGTAGCACGTTCTCGACCGATGTGGCTACGAAAGCACCTGATTCACATAATTTGCGGTGCAATCGTCCAAACAAAACATGACTTGGCTGACGTCTGTTTGGGAAGCGCTCAAGGTACGTCCGTGCCACGGCTCGTCCATTTCCATCAGCAGCGCCGTATACGTAATGCATGTCGGCCATTTCTGCGCTACTAAACTCATTCATCCTTCAACGTCCACGCCTGAAATGATTGTTTTTTCCCACTCTCCCTTTTCGTGCAATTATCGCCCTCTAGCGGTCGCAGTTTTAATTTTCGGACACAAGTTCCTATGTAAATCTTGTTCATCATGATATGACAGACCAGCATGTTAAGTTTGTAAACGACCTTTTGGGACACCCTGTATTTATTATTCTTAGCTTAAATAGGAATTCCGTTACAGTTCAAAATTATTTTTATTTTTAAATTTTAATTCCTTTTTCTACTATATAGTATTAATAAAGTATGGTTATTCTTAATTTCTCTCCTTATTTTTGCAAGCTATTTGTCAGTACTTGCAATGAAGAATTCTAAAATAGTAAAATTAATACATTATACATTTTTAATTAAAAAGAATTATATAAAATAGTTTTTTAAAAATCTCAGGTTATGCATACGGTATAGCCGAAAACGTCTCAACACTTTCAAGAATCTAGTCCATTGAAATATATCTGACCATCATCATCACCATAATCTAGTTATACTTAAAATTTCACTTCATTTCTCATTTATCCATATCTAATTAACTTATTTATCCNAATCATTGTGTTAACTAAAATCATATTTTGTATTTTCTTTTCACTTTGCAAGTCATGTATTTTGATTAAATTAAAAAGATTTTATCTACCTTGCATTGTCATATTCAACCTACGTTATATATTTATGTGGGTGATGTCATACATATTATTTTGTTTTAAAAAAAATCCACCAGGCATTGAAATGTGTTTAAATTTACCAATTAATTAATTGTAAAATAATTTAAATCTTAAAATTTAAATCATAAAATTTTAAGGCATATACTATTTCAGAAACATTTTGTTTTTCAATATTTATTCGTTTATTATCAGGGGTCTGCTTAGAAGAAATTTGGCTCCGTTAACGAATCCTTCACAAAATATCTTTTCATAAAAACGTCCTTCACAAAATATCTTTTCACAAAGTATTTTAACTTAAAATAGGACCTTACACAAAATGATTTATCTTTTAATCGGACCCCTCACAAATTTGTTTATCTTCATTATTGTTTTGTTATTCAAATAAACCCTTCCCATGAAGGGGGGGAAAGAATGACCGATGTAAACGAACTAAGTTTTGTCTTCGACAGACATTTCTTCCTCTATTCGTCCGAAATGAATATCCTGCGTTCAGCAGTATAGGCTAAATACCAAATATTTGTATGTTGCATCTTTAGTTTAGAAGCAGCAATTGCTGTTTATTTTTTAAAATTTAATTTTTTTTAATTATAATTTTACAGTGGTGAGCATAATCTTGTATGTCTTTACAATTTAAAAACTTCTTGAAAAAGATTTTTACAATAACTGAACCCTGTTTGCACAAATTCACAAAAGCAGGACCCTGGTTGAAAGAATGTGACTTAACGTTTATTTTATATTCACAAATTACGAGTAATTTTTTTACAAAAACGGACCTTTCACAAAATGTCTGGGCAGACCCCTGATTATATTATGTCATTTGAATAATCCAATGGCTAATGAATTTTACTATATAAAGGGGGACATTTCTGTATTAGATCCTTATACTGCAAATATCAATTTACCTTTTCTCGGTATACTTGCTACAAATTGGAAATCAAGTTTGTTTCATTTTGAGATGTTATTTTTAATTTTTCACAAGAAACTGCCCCTTTTATCAACAGAATGCCCAATGTCTCTTAACTTTAATTTTCTATGAAAATATTTTCCTGGATTGATTTTAACTCTCCAAACCAGAAGAAATTTTCAACTGGCTCTATTTTGAAATGAGCTAGGCATAGGGAATAAATCTCAGCAAAAAGCATGCTTCAGAACTGGTATTTGTTTAAATCATGAACAAACTTTATTCACGATCACAAGGCTCG